TCAAATACGGTGACAAGTGAATCATATATATAGAAGTTTGTAATTGCGTTAATGGACAGTTCCTTCAGGTCGTCTTCTTGTCTTCTGACTATAACCCAGTAGTGTCAGGGCAGGTGAAGAAATACAACATATTGCTTGCTCCGTTCAACCTCAAGAAGGTTTTGTATTCTGCCTTTGTAGTTCATAGTATCCAACTGAACACCGAGGTGCTCCGGTTGATGAAAAACCCCACCTTTTAGGCAGACTTTAGACCATCCTTGGAAACTACTTTAATAGAATGATTCCTGACTTAAAGCTCTATCTTTTCGCACATGTCAAGAATACACTTTCAACTTCGAGTTGTGTGCTGTGAAAAATGAATGTGAACGGGTGGTTGGACGTCCCAATTTCTCGCCGTGCTTCTGATTGGCGAGCGAAAAAGCTAAAAGAACTTATCCTCGCAAATTTGTGCCTATTCGATCAGCGCGTCGAGTAATCAGCAACTATCAGCTTTCCGAAAATTTCAGTAACTTACTTGTGGATCCAGAAGTATGCACCGGAAAGTGATTTGATCATGCAACGCATGCTTTCAGTTCCAGGCATCCATTCAGCGAAGCGATTAATTGAAATGGGGACATCGTCCATTTTGTGGATAAAACTGATTAAAAGAAAGTAAGCAATGCATACCTATTCTTGTGTATACGTATATATATATATATAATCCAGGTGTGTATATTGCATACCAATGGGAGTATTTTAGCACGGCAGAGCACATCACTCTTGGGGTTACTGAAAACGTTTCGATAGCTCATAACCAGTTTCGCCCTTCATTGAGTGTCACCATGTAGATCCACTCACCCGGATTCCTTCAGACGTATCATAGAAACCCTTGAGCTAACGTGCAATCTACCTCAATGTCAGGTACCACTCAGGTACGATGTTAAATACAGTGCTAACGTTAACACAAAACGGATCAAAATGAGCACACACCTCAAATCCGCTTTCACTTGCAAGCGAGCAAGGAGATAACACCAAGTATCGTTGATGAGCACGATAAATGGGCGTATATAAGCAAGACAACTATTTTCTTAAACTTTACCTCATTCGAGTGTTCTAGCAGACAAAAAACAACAGGATGTGTTTGGATAAGAAACTAGCCCTTTTCGAAGTATCAGCTTTTAGCGAACGGGATAGATTTCACGGAACACCGATTTTCAAGTCCCATAACGGCCGCAAAATTTTATCTTTCTTGCAGAGCTACTGGTTGTTCCTCGTAGATGTTTGGCGCAACGCACAGAAAAGTTCGAGACTCGGTAGGTTGGCGAGATTTTGTATTTGAAACCCTTGAATTCAGACGCATGTGTTTAACGGACCTGGTTTGACGCTCAAATCTGGCATTCTGGGCAGTCAATCAGGTGACCGTTTGCTTGTCGTTCCTGGTCGCTTGATGGATGTGAATGGATGAAATCGGCATATGTAAGTCGATTGAAAAGATTTCGTTTCAATGAATATTGATCTCCCAGGACCGAGTTCTACTAACCTCCAACAAAAGAACTGCTGAGGAGCACCGCTAACGACGTAATGTGCGGAAGTCCATGATCCGTGAAACTAACTCACGCTTTTGGAATTTGATTCTTCTAGGTGTATAGAAGGCCTCAGAACAAGCAGATAACGGGACGGCTGGTTCAAGTTGTTCCGCTGAACGGAAACCAATACACAGTTTTGTAACCATTGCACATCATCTTAGCACATGCATGTTTCACTCTGACTCTGCATGCATATCCTTGAAATAGGTGTCACTTTTCATGAAGTTGTTACGACGTCGAATGACGCATATGCCAAACTAAATATATTTATTGAATCACACGAGTAACGCGTGGTTTTAGTCGATTCAGTAGGATTCTGTTCGAAATTGATCGCCGTTTAATTTGCTTTTCAGTAGAAACGATGTGAAAATAATAGTTTATTACGCATTCGACTTGAGGCTCCTAGAGGTTGACAAGTGCCCAGACTTTCGAGAATCGGTCCTCTACGGTGAGGTTTCCATCTTGAAATTGGCTTAGTTATACAAACCCAATGCCGAACCCTCACAATTTACAGATTCAAGGTGTGAATTGAGAACGTTTAATCCAGCATCGTGCAAATGACCTTGGTTTCAAAGGTTTCATTTTGTTGTTTGGGTAAGCCATCGTAAGCAAAACGAAACCAAGCAAACGTCATCAGATCTTACGCTGGTATTCGTCAATCTGGATGTAGAATACACCTCCAACGGTGCGTAAAGCTAGTCGCTTTGTGGATTAGGGCAGTGACTACAAAAAATGGTGGATTTGTTGGTTGGACTGCAGCTTCAAAGAACACCTCATAATTTGAATGATGAAGGACACTGTAGGTGAGAAGCATTGCATATGTCTGATACTTGTTGTGTCCTGGGGCCACTCCGAACTAAATGGCAGGTTCTCAACCCATCTCCAAGAGTATTTTGTTGCCTTTATGTTTCACTGATTTCCCTAGGAGCCGAAACGCTTTTGAGTGTCATGTGATGTGAACTTGTTCCACTGACTGCGGGTATGTTCATCGAATGGTATTCAGAAAAAATAACTCACCCTCGATAGATGAACCGGTCAAACTGCATAGGTTGCGGGGGCTTGGCCATGTGCCGCGTATGCCAGTCGACCGACTTCCTCGAAGGGCTCTTTTCGCACAACCACGTGCAGAGTGGAAGAGTGCCAGAGGTGGTTAAACAAAGACAGGTAGCGAAGTATGAAAGCCATTCCCAGCAAACTCAGCTGCGCCCGTCATTGCCGTCTTCCTGGATGTGGACCCCGAGACGGGCCATTTCAACGGTTACAGACATTATCAGACATGGCCCAGTAGCGCCCTCAACGGCGCTCATGCATCCAAGCTATTGCTTTTAATGGATAGCTCCCTCCCCAATTCACCCACTTAACAGTTCTGTATCCACGCGCTAGTTTATCAGCTCTCGCCTCCAATGCACAGCTATCTGCCTCACCTCCCTGAATCATCAGTGAACGAAACGGCGGCAGCTCCAACCACCGTACGAAGAGTACGCGGTTATTACAGCTGACATTGATGATGATGATGCGTACTGACTGCGGGGAGTATGACCCACAAAAGATTCGAATAACCCTAATGCGAATCATGATGGACTGATCTTTCATCCACCTGTCGGACGCTACATCCAGTTTTTGACTGCATCGAAACCAATGTTTTGTTTAAACTTATGTCAGGAATTTTCTGTTGCTAAAGTTTACCAACGTGACTTGCTGCACAGCGGGTTCACCGAGTGATTACACCCATGAACCAGTTGCTCTGTTACGATCCAAAAAAGGGATCACGCTCCTCCATAGAAAAATAATTGTGGTAAAGTCTTCAAAATTATAAAACCGAAGAACGTTGACTGTGTATTGTTTTTTTGTTACAAAAATAACGATCGTTGTGAGCTGCAATTTATTGGAGAAACTAATGAGAATACACATGTTTGATTTATTTCGAAACACAGTTCCAAATGGCAAGACCAAACGGGTGAGATAATGAAAGTTCAACCGAGACTGACATTTATTTGAGGTGCCCTTCTTCTGTAGGACGATCCGAATGGATGCATTCTATCCAACCATCTACATCAGGACGGATTTCAGGTGAACGAGCTGTGCTGTGTGGTTCACAATACCAAATCGTGCATTGTTGTCACCTGCGCGTGTGAGCTTCACACAGCGAAAGTGACGTAAGCCAACCGCTGTCATGACATCGAGGTGATTCACGATGCCAGTACGTG